TATGTCAAGGTCTGGGTGAGTCCCTCCCTTGTCTCAAAGTCTGGATCAGTCTCTCCTTTATCTCTTGGTCTGGATCAGTCCCTCAACTATCTCTAGGTCTGGATGACTCCCTCCCTTATCCAAAGGTTGGATGAGTCCCTCCATTATCTCAAGGTCTGGACAAGTCCCTCTCTTATTTCAAGGTCTGTATGAGTTCCTCCCTTATCTCAAAGTCTGGATAAGTCCCTCCCTTATCTCAAGGTCTGGATAAGTCCCACCCTCATCTCAAAGTCTGGATGATTCCTTCCCTTATCTCAAGGTCTGGATGATTCCTTCCCTTATCTCAAGGTCTGGATAAGTCCCTCCCTTATCTCAAAGTCTGGATGAAGCCCTCCCTTATCTCAAAGTCTGGATGAGTCCCTTCCTTATCTCAAAGTCAAAGTTTGGGACTGAGTCTTATTTTCCCAAAGAGAGAGAAGAGTGTCTGGCAAACTGTTTCCAATCAAAGGCTTGTGAACTTGTGTCTGGCAAACTCTCCAAGTGTTTATATATACACAGTTACGCGAACCAGTCAACCTTATAACTTCATCTGTGCTTAACGAGTAGTCTCTTTTGGTCCATAACTTTGATAACAACTGCTCCTCAGAATGCCACAGATAACACATAACCCAAAAGAGTATTGAAGTATGACTGTCCAATAAATGCACAGGTAGCAGAAAAAGATTAGCAAAAGATCGACCACTATAAGGACTTAAAAAAAGAGCAGAAGATCTGAAATCCCTATTGTAATTAGAGCTCTTGGGACTGTGAGTAAGCTCCTAAGGATGTAGATCAGCAAGATGGGAACACCTGGGATCATTGCATTGCTCCAGAAAGCTTGTTTAGTGGGAACAGCTAAGAACTTAAGAAGGACCCTAGACACCTAAGGCTATAGGACATACCAGTAGTTTGCCTGCTCCCTGTTTACATTTTTTAAGGCCTTCTCGGTCAATCCTCCCTTTGGATGATGTATCTGAGGTAAACAGGTGGACCACGTGACTGGAAATGCATTGACCATATGGAAATAACGAGGCCTAGGAACTAGGCAAGGATATTCTTGGTTTTCACATGAAGTCACCAAAATTCAATTAAGGAACCATCAATTCTTCTGAGTTTCTACTTTCGTGAGATATTACCGCAGCTAAACACCTTTTTTAAAAATTTTTGGTTCGAAAGTGTTCTTCATTTTATGAAATAGGACACTTGAGTTTCCAAGCTTTTCCATAATACAAAATTTAGCTGGTGACCAAGAAAGCTACCATGTGGGTTAAAAAAGTTAACAATTTTTGGAGATTTTGTCATCTAAACACTCCTTGTCTCTGAATAATTAATATTACTTTAATCTTAATGAAGTCCTCAAGTATTGTATATTTCACGCTTTTGTATGAAAACTCAAAGACAGATGTCTATTGGTTTCTGGCCACCATATTTGTGCCCCTCACAAGACACTATTAAACATGACGCCTCCATACAAAACTTTGTAAATTTGGCTAAAACGTCACAAACCTGATTATTGGCGAGGCTTTTTGTATATTATGTTTATCTTCTTTCATTTCCTAGATTCTGGACTTTCTGTATAGATTGGTTTCCATTTTTATTTTTGATGGCGTGACAGTGAAACAGAGAAAAGCTTGATGCTTTGGGGAAACGAGGCCACAGGAGCTGGACAGCAGCTGGCTTTTTTAGTCCATTACTGCAGTAAAATCAGCCAGCTACTCTCAGTTTGAAAATGATTCAAACAAAACAAATATGGGAGGATTTGTCGGACAAATGACTGGCTACTTTCCCTGGGAGACCAGCCACTTTAAAAATCCTTTCTGACAACCCTGACATGACTACACAAGTGTGGTAAATAATTTAATACGTGGGTGGCAATGGTCTGTAACTGAAGGGGTACATGGAAAAAGGCCCAAAGTAACTCTTTGATTAAAATCAAAGGTCAAATTCCCTCTGTGTTTCACATGAATATACGGTGGAACCTCACTCTCTGGACACCCATTTAACCCTTTAAACCCCGGTATCCACATACAAATTCTCCAAACTGATCTCCATACATTTCCTTAAAGAATTAGTTGAGAGAAGTTGATAATAGATCAAGGCAGTTTCTCTTGGGTGATCATTTTATTAATTCTCATAATTTTCTCTGGACAGTGTGTGGATATTGTTAGGAGAAAATTGATCTTGGTCACTACTGGGACTTGAAGGGTTAATATTGACACCTGTAAGTTAGGGACAGTTTATTTATCCAGATGAAAAGCTGCAATATTAATTTCTTTAAAATCAACCCACTTGATAATGGCAAATAATACTAAAAAATTACAGTATTATCTTGTGAGTTGCTGCCAATCTTTCATTTTGCAAGCAGAGTTTCAAGCTATACTTTATGTTCCTCACCAGTAATAAATGACCACCTCCTTGAAAAGTATGACCACTTTCTTGAAAAGTACCACACACACTGTAGGGCTGTCATTAGTAGACAGCAGCTGGCTTTTTTAGCCCATTACTGCAGTAAAATCAGCCAGCTATTTCTTGGCTTTTGTTTCAGTCATTCCTTCATTTTATCTCTATATCAAAAAAAATATGTGTGTGTAACATTTTTTTTTTTTTGGAGGGCCCACTTAATAAGGACACCTCGATAATATGGATACTTAACAATTATTCTTTGAAATCGAGGTGAATAGCTGCCAAATATTTACCGAGCCGCGAAAGCGGCGAGGTAAATATTCCCACAGCCACTATTCACAGAGATTCAAAAGAATAATTGTTTTAGTATATACACACTAAGTGATCTCAACAAAATCAGAGAGGAAACCATTAAAAAGTACGATTTGATTAACAGATCAAATCACGCGTAAGTTTAAAAACAGATCTTTGCAGAATTTTCAAACATGGCAATTCACAAGTTTATCATTTCGCAAACAACAGCATAATGGCTTAAATGGAACCGCTAAAAGTTTGAACTGTTTTTTTACCTGAGAAGAAAAGTAGAGCTTTGTTGTTTTCTGTTGACTTGCCAAGTTTATAGCCAAAAGGGTTTGTTGTGTCATTCTTCGCATGAAGTGCTGACAAAAAGGCGGCTCGGTTGCTCGAGGTAAGACGTTGTCTTCCTGTATCATTCTTTTTCCTGTTTACTTGAAACGTAGAATTTCTGCAAACATTTCCTTTTAAATTTGTTCGTTATAAATAAACTTCGATTTTTGAGCCAAAATTTTCTTGTTAGAAAATGCTGAGTTCACAACATGGCTTCTTCTACGCGAATACACGGGAGTTGTAAACAATCCACCGAGCACAAAACTCAGCTACAGTAAATTGAAAAACGCCGTATTGAATCTTTCCAAGTCTTTTCTTGCCTTAAAAAAAGTCAGCCCTAGGATTTTGTTGACTTTTAAAAGATCGTTCTCTAAAAAAATGGGAAAAACACCGAGCTCACACATTATCCACTCGCTAGGAGGTGAATATTGTTGAATAGTCTGAGATAGCAAACCAATCAGATTGCTTAAATCACCAAGATCACTGAGTGTGTATATACTAATATGGAATGTCTGGCTGTCCATATTAATTGGGTTCCACTGTACAAGGGGATGTAGTTTATCAGATGCCACTTGTGGCTTTCTTTTCCAAACACCCCTCCAATTTCTCTTCTTTAAGCTTAAGGAGAGGTTAATCTGTCTTCTGAAGGATACATCGTCTCATCACCATCTACTTTCCTTAGTTTCCCTTTAGACTGGTCAAACCTGTATTAAATTGTCAGTAGGCCATTTTCTAAGGGTGGCCATATAATAAAAAAGACTTCTAGTAATCACAGCCACCCAGAAAACACCTACTGTAGAGGCCAGGCACAGGGATTCTTGCCCTCCCTCAAAATCTGAAATATGCTGCAGAAACTGAAACCCATGGAAAAGAGAAATTGTCATTTCTTCATACAACTGACATTGTTGATGAGGCAGCTGTCTTGCCTTACCTCATGCTAGCAATGGCCCTAAACCCAGCCTAATATAGCTGTCCTTCATCTTCAACTTTCATTGTTAATTTTCTCAGCCCAGAGTTTGTTCCTCATCGCTACCCATGGGTTGACATCTGCTCTTAGTACAGAAGGAAGTTTTAAGGAGAGGGTTCCTCCCAAGTGCCTTGCTGTCACACACAAGTGACCAGCACACTTGACCATCCACTCTGTAGAGATCATGAGAGAAGCTAAACCATGCTCGCTGGTGACACTTTCCACACAGTCCTCAACTATGCTAACGACATCTCCATTTTTCATTTTTAGTTGCAACCTCCGCTCTTCCCATGGTTCAGGAGAGAGGGACACTTGGACATGCTCAATATTTGAAACCAGAATATCTTCATATAAACCTTTACCAAAAATTCTTACATATGCTCCTTGTAAACTGGAATGCTGAAGCTGGCAACAGAACCCAAATGTTGAAAAGACTGAAAAGGAAGGCTTTTGAACAAACCCAAATTTCCATGGTCCATGCTGTACACTGTCTAACTCGCCAGAACGAACTGAATTAACAGGCGGAAGGGAATTCAGTTCGTTTTCCAAATTATCAACCTCATTGCGAGGTATTATAGTATCTAGCAACATAAGTGGTGGTCTCGAGTTTCCATCGTCTCCTAAGGACAGTACTATAACCCTCTCATTCTTCTCGTCTTCAAAATACTGCCCTGTTCCAACAAATAAATTGGTACCTCCTGCTTCAACCTTGTTCCTCGTGGCCTCGTTCAATTTTGCAGTCAACGATTGTTTGACTCTTACTATGGCATCTGAAATGGAACGCGCGAATATTGGGCTCAGTATCTTTTCTCTTGGATGAAGGTGGGAAATATTCCCAATAAAGAGGCACTTGCGCAAATAATGCCGAGATATAAGCCTAAAAATCACCATTTTCTTATACATGTAACCTTTGCCGCCATGATGAAAGTCAACCCGCAAGGATTTATGGGTTGTTTCAAGCAATGAGTCCGCTGACCCGTTTTGAGTCTGTTCAGTTGTGATTGAAATAGCTTGAAATATATTACTCTGAGTAGATCGGAATAGAATGGAACCTTAGTGGACGTGAAAGTTTTCTGAGAAGTGCAGTCATCAGAATGAGTAGAGCGTTAAGCAAATATCGTGGAACTCTTGTTGGAGCATTGGTCGGAGATTGCCTTGGTTCTAAGTACGAAGGCGTGTCGGGTATCATTCCTTGGCGAGAGGTCACTGACTACACTATGACAAGAATCAAAGACAACGAAGAGCGCATTCCTTATACGGACGATTCAGCGATGACTCGAGCTATTTGCAAGTCTCTTACAGAACAACAGAAATACGATAACCGCAATATGGCCAAGGCATTTGTGGAGGAGTTCTTTAGAGATCCCGACCGTGGATACGGGAGCGCTGTGGGGAGAGTGTTCAAGCGTTTACGGGACGAGGATCCCGAGGATGTAACCTCTCCTGCCCGCAGCCAGTTTGATGGACAGGGCTCGTATGGTAATGGTGCAGCTATGAGGATTTCACCTCTTGCACTTTTTAGTCGAACTTCTAAGGAAGTTCAAGAGGTAAGATGTAAGATGTCTGGCTGATTATAAACAATTATTTACACGTTACAATAACAAGAGCGTCCTGGTTGGGGATCCGGGGGGGGCACTCCCCTATGAAAGTGATGAGGGCTTGTTGGAAAATTTTGAGAACACCCGTAAAAGGTGGCAGAATCTTGTGTTATGGGCATGTCCCTAATTAATTTCCACCCCTGAGAGGTACCAATTCAACAATAACAAATCATATAACTGGCACTGCGACTTTAAATAGTAATAAAGATGATGCTCAAAAAGTTTCTTCTCAAGGATTTTTTGAAAGTATTGTCATAAATCTCACCGATACAACTCTGGCAGCAATGATTTTAGGTTTCAGCACCTTAAGCGGCACCAACCCACAAATTTAAACCTCTGAAAGGTACGATGAGCACCCACGTCACTTTTATAGGGGAGTACCCCCTCCCCCCTGCGTTGGGGATTATCTAAAGTTGTCAGGCCACACCTTGGATGTGTCCTCCTCTTCGATCCTCGCAAGGGAGATGGACAAGTTCAAGAGAAGAGTTAGGGAAGCCATCAAAATATTTTGTCAGGATCCAACTTTGAACAGAGTCTACTCTGGTTCAAGCTCTCCCTGATCTATTGAGACCTTTTGTTATGTGATTCACAGTGTAAATCACGTGACAAAACACCCAAATCCATCACTTGAAAAAGGTTCTGCAATGGAATTGAATAGCTGTGTGTAAAAAGTTTTTTTCCTATCTTGTAAATTGAATTGTTGCCTATTATAAAATGTTGTTTATTATTTATGAGGTTTTTGTGAAGTCAGAAATAACCAAGGTTGTGGCAAGTGTTATCAGCCTCAGCTGAAAACACTTACCAAGACCTTGATTATTCTGGATATTACAAAAAACAAATCTAAACAGGGCTGTGCTCTAGCAGAGCCCTCTAGCCTCTGGCACCTAACTTTTGCTCTCGGGCGACTAGAACATCTTAACTTTTTCACACAAATCATAATCTGGGCACCCTAGATTTTACAGGTTCAGAGCACTGGGCTTCCTTCAATTTTCCTTAGAGCAAATCTTTGCTTAAACTTGTTTTGTTATACCTTGTTTTGAAGAAAGTAGCAACAAACACACTGTTGCATGGAACACAGTTTGACATTACTCTTGAAAGTCATATTTTGCCAGTGTAGATATAATCTGTAGGTTGTATTGATTTCCAAAATTATAATGTGGGCTCTGAGCCAATGAGAAGACAGATTATGAGTAGATGGCAATAATTTGCATTGAAGGACAGAATGTAATGGCAGATTTTTAAGGGTCTGGTAAGGGAAAATTAAAGGACCACAATCTTTGAACGAACTTTGGTGATTGTCTGGGAGATTTCATTCTCTTTTTAAATATGGAGACTGGGAGATAACGGTCCAAAATCTGGAGTCTCCCAGGTCCGAGAGAGTTGAAATCACTGAATGTTGAGGGTTCATGGAGCCAAGCAGCAATCAGGCATGGCCAAGGGAGGTATCCATAGCAACTCAGGCAGTGTGGCCGAGTGGTCAGCGTGTCGCACTCGCACTCCGGCGGTCCTGGGTTTAAGTCCCACTCTGGCCACTTGCTGGATTTGTTCTCAGTCTTCCCGAGTTCAAATCCTTGGCCAGGCTTGTAAATAGTCAACTGGCTGCCTCCTGCCAGTTGGGGTTTTAAATCCTGTTATGTTGTATTTGAATTATTTTTTTTCTAAGTATTCACTGATTGTAAAGTGCTTTGGATCACTAAGAGAAAGGTGCTCTATTTAACAATTATTCGCCGAAGGCCAAGTTAATATTGTTGAATAATCCCCAAGACAAAGTTGAGGGGATTATTCAACAATATTAACTGAGCCTGAGGTGATTGTTTTAGTATATTCACACAAAGTGATCTCAACAGAATCAGAAAGGAAACCATTAAAAAAAGGATTAGTTTGATT